CAATTTAGTGGTTGAAGATGTAGAAAATTCCCCAGAAAATGTTGTACATTTTTACATTAAGCCGCAATTGAACGACTGAAAAATTTACCTCAAGTGGCAACAACATTCAATATTCAACTGGATAAACTTGCTGGTCAAAATCGTCTGTGAGTTTCACAGTGTTCAATTCGATGCTGAAACTTTCCCTTGTTTGTCTCGGAAAAGCCGGAAAGAAATAATCTGAACTCTTGGAGGAAAAACACATATTTTCGACCAAGTTATTTGGCTTTGTTCGTCACACATTTAAACTGTTCAGTTCCGCAAAACAGCCCTCTTGGGACGGTTATCCTGCCCTCGATTTCACCCCGAAACTCAAGAGCGATTCTTTTACGTTGTCTCGAACGACTTATCTTGTTGTTGTGCTTTTAATTCCTGAGTTTCTGGACGGTATTTACACGCAATTTCTCTCAGATATTAGATTCAGCATGGAGACCATTCGAAGCATTCTGGCGCATCATCGTTACCACAAATTTCGAAAAAAGCAAATAGTTACCTGATGAATCTTCCTTGAAATGGAAAGCACATAATCCGATGGATAATCACTTCAATTTACAAGATTTGTCTAATCTAAATTGTGTACAATAAAAGACGCCAAAGATACGCCGTTATTAAAGCGAAAATCCATCTGCATCTCACGTGATTTAATTAATGGAAGGGATTATCCAAAATGGAAGTTTCAGACTTTCGTATCAATTCAAAAATGAGTTACTCGCTTGGCAGTCAAACTTTGTAAATATGTTTTTGTCACAACGTTTCGGTTGACAGTATATCCAACCGTTTTCAGGTTGTCGCTAAAAATGATTCTAACTGAAATATTTTTGCTCATAAGTACCCATGCTTTTTACGACGGTTCAATGGTACCTTTAACTTTAAACTTGAAACTAGAAGCTGAATTTGGTTTCCTTTGGTACTTTTGTGGAGAGTGAGTACTTTTCCGATTACATGTACCAACATTTTTGAGGAGAACTTTGGAAAACTAGCTCGCAAACTTGCCAATAGGAGGCCAAAGAGAAGCAAAGTGAAGACATCCGATTTCTCCTAAATGAGAGCAGATCGAGAAATCGGTGTTAGTTGCCTGGAAAGGACACTTTTCCTGTTATATGCACGGCAGGTTTTGGAAAGGTCCACCTTCACGTTCAGTTGCTGGATTTTTTTTGAAAATTTGCTCCCGAATCATAAACATGCAATGCGAAATCAGCCAATTTCTCCTAAATCAAAGCGGACAGAACAAGGAGTTTTCTTGGACCAAAAATGACAGTTGGCCTTTATATGAACCGAGAGTTTCCGAAAGGTCCATCTTCAAGTTCAATTGCGTCAGAACCTTTGCCCCCGCACTATGAACGGCGAAAGTGAAAACACAGCATTTCTTCGCAACTAGAGCCGATAGAGCAACGGGGATTTTTTCGTTGTAAACACTAGGTTTGTGTCTGCAAACCTACAAATTGAGAAAAACCTGCGTGTTCAGGTTTATTTTGGAGAATTTTTTGTATATTTATTCGCATCTCAATCACTTCTCCTGAATAAGTGCAGGCAAAGCACTTGTTAATTAATTGCAAAGGACTCTTTTCCCACTTTGTAAGGCGAGAGTTTCGAAAGTCACCATCTTCAGGATTAATTACAATTTTTTTGTACCTTTTGACCACAGCATTTATCCTGAAGTGGAGAAGGTAGAGCAATGCAAATTTTCCATTGTAAAGAGTGCAATTGCGTCTATAAAGGTACAAATGAAGGGAAACTTGCATTTACAGGTTCACGTTGGAGAATTTTTTAAAACTTTGCCCCCTTCTTCACTCAGAGGCGAAAGACAGTCGAAGTGAAAACACTGGATTTTACCTAAATGAGAGCAGATACAACAGTCATTGTTTTTGAGTTGAAAAGGACATTTTCCTGGTTTTGAAGTGAGAGTTTCGGATTTTTTGAACATCTACGCCCGCATTTTGAACAGGGTAAGTAAAAACACGGCATTTTTCGGGAAGTAGAGCAGATAGAGCAACGCGAGTTCCTCCATTGTAAACGGCGCATTTGCTTCTATGAAAAGAAAAATCGACAAAAATCTTCATCTTTAGCATCATTTTGAAATTTTTTTTTTCTACTGGCCAAAGGAAGGTAAAGTGAAAACCGCCAACTTCTCCTAAATCGTAGCAGATAGAGCAGTTGTTGTTTATTGACTGAAATGGACATTTTTTGCTATATAAGTACCAAGAGTTTGGGAAATCTATATCATCAAGTTAAGCTGCGAAAATTTTGGAAGATTTTCACCCACATCATGAACAGAAAAAGCGAAAACACCAAATTTTGCATAAACCAATGTGGCTGGAGCAATGGGAGTTTTTGGACTGAAAATGGCATTTTTTCCTTTATGTGATCTTCAGGTTCAGTTCTGAGAATTTTTTAAACATTTGCGACCGCATTATGAACACGAAATCTGAAACACCACACTTCTTCTGAATTAGAACAGACAAAACAACGGGGACAATTTCATTGTAAAAACTGTATTTGGCTTTATAAAGGTGCAAATTGACGAAAACGTGCATTTTAAGTTTCGCTTTGGAATTTTTTTTCAAAATGTGCTCCTATGGCACTCATAGGCCACAGAAAGGCAAAGGGAAAACATCGGATTTTTGCGAAATGGGAGCAGACAGAGCATTAGTTCTTAGTCGATTACAAATCCCACTTGTCTTGTTGTGCGAAGCAAAAGTTTCGGAAAACTCCATCTTCAAGTTCGCTAGCGATAATTTTTTGAACATCTGCCCTCGCATTATGAACAGAGAAAGAAGAAAACTCGGCATTTCCCGTGAAGTAGGACCGTCAGAAAAATGCGGACTTTTTCAATGTAAACATCACATTTGCCTCCATAAAGATCCAAATCGACAAAAATTTTGGCTCATCAGATTCAATTTGGAGAATTTTTTGAAGATGTGCTCCCCTGCCCTAAAGACGCCAAAGAAAAGTCAAGCGAAAAACGTCGATTTTTCCCACACCAGAGCAATTGGTGTTATTAGACTGAAAGAGCCGGTTTTCTTTTAAGTAAGCTCAGAATTTCGAAAACGTCCATCTTCAGGTTCAGTTGAGACGATTTTTTTGAACAGTTGCTCGCGCATTATGAACAAGGAAACTGAAAATATCGCATTTCTCTTTAACTAGAAGAGCAGACTAAAGCCGGGTTCTCATGAGAAAAGCTTCCGACCAATCAGAAGTTTGCCGGATGCGTTAGCTCCGCCCATCCGCAGAATGTTTTTTCTTAACCGTCCACACCAGTCCTGGTTGATTGCGCTTGCGCGTCTCATCGCCGCGTTGCCGGTTTAATACTTCCATTGCGAACAAAATTATAACCTCAGAAAAACGTTTCTTGTGGATTCTAGCATGTTTTTAGTTCAGTGGCTGTTGCGGAAGTTCATGCTAATTTCATCGTTAGTGATTTATACAATTAGTTCCAGCAGTAAAGATTTGGATTCTTAGAGTTTCAATAGTCATGGATCTTGTTTGTTTTTTATTGTTTTATGCTTTCTAAAATAATGAACAGATATGTTTGAATGTTGTCTATGACCTTCATTTTAATTATATACATGCCTATGAAAAATCATAAAAATATGCAGCATAACAATTTGTGTCCTATAAGATTGCAGCTTCAACACAAACATTAACCGGAAACAATTAACTAAAGAAAAGTAAACGAGTTTTTTTGAGGTTGGGCGTCGCTATTCCAGCAAGGTCAGGCGATTAAAAACCAAGTATGAGCATAGCGGCAACATGGCAGTGAGACGCGCAAGCGCAATCAGCCAGGACGGCTGTGGACGGTTAAGAAAAAAATATCTGCGTGCGGAAGAATGTGAAAACCTAAGCCCTCCTAGATCTCTAGTGATGCTCCAGTGAAAGGTTATGTTTAGCGGCGTCTATTCGACCGTATTTCATTTTGATGTCTTTGTTTCCTTCTTTTTAGAACGTACAAAGAGAAAAGCAGATTTAACTTTTGGTTTTGAACGTTCATTTCATGCGCCTCAAAACACTGACAAGAAAACATGTAGAAAAAAAAGTTGGATCGTGTTTCGCTCCCGAAAGATATGCCAACACTGTCGGCGGAATGCGGAAAAATAATCCGTGAACTGCGTAAATTTTTCCGCGCGTAGTAATGGTAGTAGTAGGCTGCGCACACACTTTCCGCACTCCGCGTCCGCAAAGCATTCTGCACCCATGAGAACCAAGCTTTAGGAGAGTTACTTAATTAGAAAGAGCCTCTACAAAGCCTCTATTTTAATTATTTACCTTTATAGAAAGCGAGTTTGTTTTGAACATTTGGAACCATTGAAAGTGCGCACTTAACGCACTTTTTTCGAACTTTGATTGCTTTGGAAAGTGCAAAGTACTTGCGTTATACTGTCTTGAAGCGTTTTTGTCTTTGCCTGTAAATGGTTGGCGATAGTATGAACCGAAACGTTTTGTCTAAATCACCTTTATCACCTCTGTAAATTCGAGTCAACGTGGGTTTCCATCAAATCGTTATATAAATGAGCTGAAATTGAAACATTTTCATAAACTCGTATATGGGGAAGGATGTTCTATTTTAAAATCAGCCATCGCTAATTGTCATATTTGTATACAAGTAGAACAACCCAAAAGTGACTGGTTAATCCCCCTATCTGTTTAGGCAGCGATTAAAAGCTATTTAATTATGATATCTAACATATAACAAGCCTTGCAATAGTTTGCGAAGTCTTAACGAAAACGCCAATATAAGAGTTACGAAGCATTATTATCAGGCGGCGCAAGATTGTAAATTTACATAACTCACATGTACCTACAGACAACATCTAATTTATGAGTTTGCGTATTTTTCTTAATCCTCTTCGCGTACAGATTGACAAATTAACGAGGAAGACGGGGACGAAATCATCATTGTCGCCTCAGTGTATCAGGGAGGAAATAGTTGTAATATCGTAAGTAAATCGTTGAATAATAAAAAGTTGCAAATACAATATACTTTTATAGGAGTTTGATACAAATGTTCGTGGATATGTTTATCGTTTTCAGCCGTTGCTCTCCTTTTTCGCGGACAAACATCTGGAAAAAGCAACAGTAATTAGACTAGCTGAAGATCGTTATTCGCATCAAAATACCTGCACATTGACTCGTTCCAAACCAATCCAGTCGTGCAGTTGGTTTTCGGAGAACACTCACAAGAACAAGACTTTGAGTCCCAATAGTGAATACTTGTGCCTCTCATTCTTCTTTCTTCATCGATCTTCCGTTCACACTGGGTTTTCTCCTAAAAACACCCCCCAATTTTGAATGCACGCCTCTTGTGCAGCTCCGACTCAACCCACCTCTTTCCTGCAGTTGCAGCTGCAGGTTTTTTTCGAAAATGTTTGCCTCGATGTGCAACTGTCCGCGCCAATGGCGCATTGGCAGCTGCATTTGATGTCTTTGGGGACTAAAACAGTCGAACAGTAACTGTGACGATTTTTTCTTAAAACCTGCACTGGAACCGACACGTTTTCGTATTTTACCGATTTGCAAATCTTCGGCACTTTAAGGCGTTTGTTGCAGAATCCCATGCACAGTTGAGTTGCCGCTTTATCTGGAATAAGCTGCAACAAAATGAGGGGCGTTTGAAGACAGTTTTTGAAGAAAATAATTTTTCTTGTAAAAAATGGACTCTTGGGAAAATTATGCGTCTTTATTGCAAATAGTGGACAGTTTCCTTTCCAGTTGAGTAGTTGGGTTGTAAGCCTTACATTTTTCGCGACTTTGCAGAAAATACACGATATTATTTTTCCTCCTCAATCTGCTGCAGCGCACTGGCAATCTTTTAACAGCGATTTTATGTTTAATTTACAAACTTTTCGCTGTTTAGTGTTTTTCGCCTAGCTGCGAAGTTAACGAAAAAAATATGAAATTATTAGATGTAAGTCTCGAAAATCGAGCTTTTGGCTGGAATTTGTTTTGGAGAATAGCAATTTTTAAAAATTGATAATTCCCCAACGTGACTTATCCCCCAACGTGAAAAAATTAAGCGCACTTTTCAGGGTGTCGACCCACGGGTGTTCGAAATAAATTTGGAGATTTTTGTTGTTCAATCTCTTCTGGTTCAAAAGCTACAACTTCTTCATTGAAGAATTGTACAATCGCGAATCACATTTGGACAAAACCGGCTTTTTTAAATTTATAATTCCTCAACATGACTTCAGAATTAAGGGACATTTTTTTGTTTAGGCCTCACTGGTATCGCACTCCTCACTCATTTATGCACGCCATCAGCCTCGGCAACATTGCAGTTATCGGTGATTCGAAAACTACCCTTGGGCCAGGCACTTGTGAAAGAACCAACTAAAAGTAATCACATTGCCAGAAGACAAATTTTTCAAAAGTTTTAATTCCTCCATAAGTAAATAATTGCAATTTTTCGAGAATAGACGCACGGGTATCTCAAATTGATTACCGAATTTGCGCGGTTCAAACTTCTCTGATTTAGAAGCTATAATTTCTTAAATGCAGAAATGCAGATCTGAAAATGATCACATTTCGGCGAGACGCAGTTTTGAAATTTTATAATTCCTTGATGTACAGTCCAAATTAAGTGATTTTTTCTGAATCGGGACGGAAGGGGATCTCAAATATATTTGCGAATTTTCGACGTTCAATCTCTTCTGGTTTAGAAGACATAATTTTTTTAAATGAAGAAATGTACAACTGAAAATAATCATATTTCAACAAAACGGATTTTTTTAAATGTATAATTCCTCGAGGTGCCTTTCAAATTAAGTGAAATTTTTCGTGTATTAAAGCACGGGTGTCTCAAATCTATTTCCCAATTTCGAATGGACAGTCCCTCCTGGTTTAGAAGCTACACTTTTTTTTGAGGAGAAAATGCCCAAGCGAACTCTTTCACATTTCAATAAAACAGATATTTGAAAATTTATAACTCCTCGGTGTGCCTGTGTCAAAATTAATTGACTTATTTGGGTATGGAGAACAGGGTATCCCAAACATATATCCGAATTTGCACAGTTCAATCTCTTCTTGTTTAAAAGATACAATTTTTCAAAATTGCACAATTGTGAATAATCACATTTAGACGAGATCAATTTAGAAAAGTTGCTAATTCCTCAATGCGTCTTCCAAATTAAGTGAAATTATTCGGGTATTACCGCGCGGGTGTGCCAAATATATTTCCTAATTAGCGTCATTCAATCTCTTCTCGTTTAAAAGCTACAATTTTTTAAATGAAGAAAGCGATTGTGAATAATCTCATTTAGAGCCGATTAATTCTGGCGTCGGATTTCTCGCATTCATCGTTAAATAAAGAAAAAAATCCATTTTTACAAAGCACTTACTTGTCCTTCATCAGATACCAAGTCAAGAATAAATGGGCGTGGTTTACATTTGACTGCATTTTTCGTGCTTCGCACTTCAGCCGACTTACACATGGCTGAAAATGAAACAATCAAACTTAAATTACTCATTTTTATTCAATTGATTTGTCCCATAATTTGGGGGTTTAAATTGGTGCATATTCCACCCTTACCCCAACCAACCAGCCGTTTTAAGGCAAAGTTTACTACTACAAGCGGCATCTACGAGTGTCACTAGAGACTTCCAGCACTAGTAAACAGTTATATGTTTTTATTTTAAGTTTCATTAATTAATCGTCTTTAGTCGAAAAACCTACGATTAAATCTGAGCCAAATTTTACAAAATCCCGAAAAGCTGATTGTTTTTGAGTGGCAGTAATAAAGTATGTGTGATGAATTGTATTACCATTATTACCTTCTTGAGGCTCAACTCGATATTCACGCAGCGTCACTTCTGAAAATTCAAAATAAACTTATGCAGTTTCAATAATATTTGTTCTAACGTCCACAAATAGCCATATAAAGTGCATTTTATATCTATACAGGGTGTTAGACGCACTGTGCAACTTTAAGATGCGAAAATGCATATGAAACCAATTTTTGCCAGATGCAAACTGAATTTGGGTGGATTGAGAAGCTCTATGAGATGCGGAAGATCTCGTGCATGTTGAGGTTTCTGCAAATCTGGTTTTTGCAATTTTCCTCAAAACTACACTAAGGGCACAAATAATTAGGACTGGATGCATTTGTGCAAGCCCGGAATGTTTTGGAAAATGATTTGTTTATAGAACGCTTTGTTTTATAGTAAAAAATTAAATGTGAAGATTGAAAAAAATTCTGATAATTTTTTTTAATCCAAAAAATTAATTTTTGGATTCATTTTACATATGGAATAGTCACACAACAAATCGAGTCTGGCAGATTTTAAAAAAAATTCTGTCTGAGCCACGAGAAGGAAGTAAAAAATCTGCAAACTCGCAAAAAATTTAACATTTCAAACTCGCCTAAAAATGTGCAATGGTTTCCGAATTAACTTGAATTTGCATCACTTATTTCTAAGACTCGGTAGATTCCATGCTATTAGGATGTCAATAGGGGAGGCAAGTGGCTGTTGGTCAAAAAAATTGGGAACAAATTTCGTACCCCGTTTCTATAAAAAAATTGCCAGCCTGTATGTCAATTTCGGAAGATTTTTTGGGATGCTGTCAAACACTAAAAGAATAGTGGATTTTTCAAAAAAAATGCGACTTTTCGATTGAAAGTCGTTTCCAGATAGTTTCACTGCCATCTCTAATTCTCCATAAAAAATAACGTATAAAAATTAAAAATTCCTCAAAATGTGCTTTAATATCAGCTCCATCTACAATTCACTCTCTTAGATCGGGAATTAATGGGCCTTTAAAATAACGTATAAAGTGCAGAAAATATTTGGCTCTATAAGCGTGCGGAATCCACACAAACTTAAAACATAGAGCGAGTTTGTCATTTTTCCTGGTTTTGATGGCAATAAAAATTCGTAAAAAATCGAATTATTCTGCGGTTCATCCGCGAGCCACGCTGATTCATAAAGAATTAGTTGGGCTTCGCATCTGTGCCAAACTTATAAAAAATGTTTTATTGCTTGGCCTCGTAAAATCGACACAAAGTTAGACTGAGCTTCTTCGGTTTTGATGCAAATAAAAAATCGTCAAAATTTCACTTAACCGTCCGATCAGATTCATCCGCCAGCGATACTCATATATGGAGAATTACTGGGGCTTCAGACCGATACAAATCCTATGAAAACGTTCGCTTTCCTGATTAAGAAAAGTCGAGTCAAAATTATAAATTATATTTTAAGAGCGGCTATTTGTTTCAGACTGAGATTCAAAAATTATCGATATTCGGTATCGATAAAATCGATTCCGAAAATCGTTTGATACCGTATTTAAAGAGCGCATTTCCYTTTACTTACACTCTAAGTTGCAGGTCATTGACAATTTTTGATGAAATTGGACAAAATTTTAATTATCCGAGTGCGCATTATGAGCGGCAATTCATGTAGAGTTGGTTTCAAAATTGTCTGCCTAAAAAGCATATCGAGGTATAAAAGCGCGTGTTCTGGCATTCAAAAGGGCATATTTTCCTTTATTAATTCCAGAAAATTTAGTTTTTTCCTCGCACTATTTTCCGATATTGTACAAATTTTAATCACAGAGTGCCTATTAAGGGCGGCGTCTTATGCGAGTGTCAGTTTTCAAAATTAATTTCTAACAACCAATAGCGGTAAACGAGTGCTTTTTGCAGCATTTAATCAAGCACCGTTTCCTTTACAAATGCCATCAAATTCCATTTCAATCGCCCATTTTTCTGAAATTGTACAAATTTTTAAACATCATACTGCCTATTAAAAGAGGCTTTTTGCTACAAAGTGAGTTTCAAACATAACTTTTCAAAAGAGACCGAGCTCCTTTAAAATAACGCATTTTCCATTACTTTTACTGTAAATTCCAGTTAACTGGCAATCTTTTCTGAAATTTGACAAAATTTTTATTATCTGATTATTCAATTCATGCAGAGTACGTTTCAAAAATGTCTGCCTAAAAAGCCTGATTCTGAGGCATCGGAGTGACTTTTAAACGCGGTTTTTGCAAAACAAAACAAAAAATGCCGAAAAACCGATCGATGTAGCAAAGTGCGTTTTACGGGATTTAAACGGGCGCATGTGTCTCTACAAGTGCCGTAAAGTTCAGATCAACTAACCATTTTTCTGATTTTGTACCAATTTTTTGTCTTTAGTCTCGGAGTGCCTATTAGGAGCGCCCTTTTGTTTCAGAATGAGTTTCAAAAATAAGTTGCCGAAAAACCGATCGAGCTAGAAAAGCGCATGTTGCGGCATTTAAAGCAACAACTTTTCCTTTACTAATTCTACTAAGTTCAATCGTGCATTTTTCTAAAATACAATTTTTTTGTGATCAAAGTGCCCATTAAGAGCGCCCTTTTGTTACATAGTGAATTTCAAACCTGAATTATTCCCGAAACCCCGATTGAGGCCGAAAAGCACATTTTGCGGGATTTAAGCGAGCACAGTTTCCTTGACAAACACCATAAAATTCAGTTCAATCGCACTTCCGTCTGAATTTGCAAATTTTTTATCAGAGTGAGTTTGAAAAAGGCATGCCCGAAAAACCTTTCGGGTTAGAAAACCGCATTTTGCGTTATTTCAAAGCGCGATTCTTAGTGATTAATCACCTTAAAGTTATATCTAATGAAACTTCCAAGTCTTTGGGTTTTAAAGCCCCAAAGTTTTCCACTAATAATTCACTTTCACTTGAGCTTTGAAATAAGCGCCTTTAGCCCGTTTTTTTCCAGTGCATCTAGCAACACCCTGTATACACATTTGAATTTTGGACTTGCTTAACAGTGAATGAATGGAATTGATAATAAATCAGTTTTTGTCCAGAACTCACCATTGGTTTTAGCAACAATGCCACGTACTTTGCGCTTCCAAAAAAATGTATGTCTCTGGGTATCATAATTAAGCATACCTGGTATAATTTCTCCATTGGATAACCGATACACTCTACTTGAGGGCGGATTTCGAACGGCCGGTACCTTAAGAACGGCCCTTCTGTATTCGAAATAAATGTTGATGTTATCTGGATAATTCGGTTGCTTGATTGCCAGACACTTTTGGTGGCACCAACTGTTACTGCACTTTGCCATCATCATCGCGTTCAAGATCACAATTGCCAATGGGAGCGCGTTCATCTTGAACGGGGTGTTCGTTTGATTGAGCTTCGTTTCGAACTGCTTGTACAAGTATACTAATCAGATCAGTCCAGACCATCCAGATTGGTAAACTAATGAAGTAAGGAGCCACTTTCGAATCAATTTTGTATATTTTTGTTTATGCTTGAACTTCCAAAAGCGCGGATATTATCCATGTGCGAATGAGATCGGAGACTTTAAACAAGCTAGAGCAGCAACGGGTGCCGATATTCATCCAAGTGAAAATGGAACTGTCGCTTTCTTTCGGTGGAAAATACATCGATTTTTGCTCAACTATTTAGTTGTTTGACTGCACTTTCCAGTTAGAAAATCAGTAAACGCCAATGGATTTTTTGCTATAAGAAGTTTTGCGCGAAGTCTACATGCAATTGGGAACAGATAAGGTCTTTTGGGGTTTTTGCTGAAATCAACTGTTTTTGAGTAAAAAACGAGCGGTTGGAATGTCCCGGAACATTGTCGCCATATTTAACATTTGATACTTTCCAGGAAAAATCAACTGTGCACGCCAATGGATTGTCTCAACCCAAAAATTAGTTTGAAATTCTCTCTTTGGGATCAAAAACACTTTTTTGGTTTCTTCGCAGAAGTGCACTGTTTTTTATTTAAAAAATGAAATCCGTTGGACTGTCCCAGAAAATTAGAGCCAAATTAAACATTTGATAATTTCAAGGCAGAGAAACGCTGCACCAGGGTTGGCTTGCTTTTCTTCAAGTGATTTCAATCATGATTTAAATCACCTAACTTTTTTCGAAAAAAATCACGATTTAAATCAAAGTTGATTTTTTCAAGAAACTTTATATTTTCACTCAAAAAATATAAAACAGAACACAAATAATTCTAAGAAATGAAAATCGAAATAGAAAACGGTACATGTGAACTTAAAAACTAAACGGTATTAATGGTAAACTCAATAATACTAAAACGGAAATCACTTCTCTTTCTCTTCATTTTCGTTATAAAGTCTGAAGAGGAACACTAATT